GCGGCGATCCTCTCATTCCCAACTGTGCGATGTGGAGCCACTCGGAATGCGTAAACTTGATGGGAGTGGTATCGCTCCAGATGAAACTACGGCATTATCACAAGGCGTTGAGCGTTGGTCTGCTAGGGTTATCAGCCATTCTCTGGAGGATGAGAGGAAGGCTGGTATTCATCCTACACCACCGTCGACTGTTATTACGAGGTACTCGACACCGCAAGCGGAGACCAACGGTATTGCTAGTATACGATATGAACCCGTTCATGAGGGAGATAGAGATGCTACAGTGGATGGACTGGACGAGGAGCAATTGGCAGTTCTGAAGCAGATGGAAGAGGAGGTAGAGCTTATGAGAGAGAAGAAGCAACAGGAGATTACTGGCGTTAACTTGGCGACTGCTGTTGGAGGATCCTCCATGTCTGTTGATCTTGGACCTCGAGGAGAATATGACGACTTCATTAACTCAGATAGAGTGCCACGCTTGATGCACGTCGTAGCCGGTGGTCGGCATCCTGCTCATCACAGACTAGTAAGGAAGTTGAGGCGTATGGAGAGGAAGCTCGCCGATATCAATCCGGGCGAGGATGAATATGACGAACCCGTGATAAAATACCGAGAATATCGGGAGGTGGTGAGGCGGTGGAAGGCTCGGAAATCTCGGGAGCTCACGGGAGAAGAAAAGCATCGACTGGCTGCGGGCTTCGAAAGCTTCACGATACGATGGCGAAAGTGGCGACGGAGGATTCTCGCCAAATACAGTACTGTTGATTTTGCTTCTGTAACGAGGAATGCCCCTGCTAAACTACAGCGACGTGTTGCGTATCCGAAGAAGCTGGCCTACAATCAGAAGACTTATTTAGCTTTGAGGAAGAGTGCTGCTTTGGCAGAGGCCTTAAGAGACACACATGGGCTCTCCTGTCGATCTCAGATTTTCGAGTCCCTGGCCTATAATGCGGTAAAGCACGTTCGTGCTATCAGTGATGCCAGAACAGCGGTACAGGAGTTTTCTCAGCTGATCCTAGCGATTACCTCCAGCGGAGAGTCTTTGACCGGAGCATGTGAGCCAATCATTGAAGGCTTCAAAGAGGCGTTGAACAGGGATGCTGCTAATGGATCCTATCTGTCTCTCGCCACTGCATATGTGAACTTGACTGCTGTCTCGTGTTGCAAGACTGATACAAGCATCGTTCGATTGTTATTGGATCGATGCTTTGCCGACCCCACTGTGCGTCCTGATGACCTCCTACTGCATGCTCGGCCTCTCACCATCCTAGCTCTCTCTAATGGCGCACGTAGAGAAGAGCTGAAGCATCGTCTGGCGAGTGCCCTGGTAGCTCCATCTGATGAGGCACTCTCTAC